CCCAGAAGTACCCAATCTGAATAAGACCTTTCAAAGAAAAGTAAAAAGCAAAGCTTGTTTGGAATTTTCACAATCTCAAACACTCTAATCAAAAGCAAACATTTGTAATGTGCAAACAATCCCTGGTCTGCTTTTCTCATTATTCCATTTCAGCACACACATATGAACATATACACACCACTCAGGTGCACAGACTCAAAGAAAAGAAAACTCTAAATCAAAACAAGCTCTTCTCCTTTCATATGGTTACTCCATTTCTTAGAAAGAACTAAACCTCCACTGCTAGTTTCTCAGAATTCAGAACACAACACAAAAGCAGCATAGTGAACCTACATAATTACTTCACTGCTCAGAGCAGATATCTATGGACAATGAAACAGAAGGGAAAAAAAGAGAGTTATCTTGTAAGTGTGGTGACGGGACACATCCCTGTCCTTACTATCAGTCACTTCTGTGTTCTAAAATTCCATGTTATCATCAGGAATTTATATAAAGAACTAGAGCTGTGCTTTCAAGAGCAATTTATAAGACACCTTCATTGACTGAGATGATTGCATTCCTCTCTTAATCCTAATTCTCTTACATACAAAAGTAAGTTTTTAAGTAGCAAAAGATAAATCTTTCTATTGTCTAGCTTGCAAAAGCTATTAATCTACATAAATACTATGTTATTGGTTTAAAAATGGTAAATACTAGACTCTGTTCTTATTCACTAAGACAAAGGACTATTTCTACTTCAAAGTATAGGCATTGAAAAAGAAGTAACTCTGCACTTCACCGCCAGCCTATATTTTATATTTATCTGTGACTCTCAGCTCTACAGCCTGCTTCTTGTTCACTATAATGTTTCCTGCTTTTGTCTAAAAGTGTGTCCCAGGAGAAGGGAGAGGTTGTCTTCTTTGGAGTCACATATTGTAGTTGTCAAAAAGTTTTCATACTTTGAGTATGTATTTCTATAACTGGGAGAAAGTCAACAGTCAATTTATAAAGTCTTATTTCAATCTAAAATAAATCAAAATTTCAATTAAGCAAACACTTTGACAATGAAAATTTTCAATTAAAAACTTCATTTATGAATCAAAACCTAATCCAGCATAGATGTTTCATTAAAAAAAAAACCTGGTCATTTTTAAAGAAATATTTTAAAAGATTAATGGACTATAAACAAGCTATGTGACTGTCATCTGAGATAGCTATCTTTTAATGAGACTATTCAGGTATTTGCATACCCATTTTCATTGCAGCATTATTCACAATAGCCTAAAGGTAGACAATAACCAAGAAGAAGATTTAAAAGTTCTGGAGATAAACAGTGGTGATGGATATACAATAACATTAAATGTATTTAAGATCACAGAAGTGTATATTTTAAAATAATTAAAATGATAAAATATAATTTAATTTATGTTTTACCAGAGTAAGAAAGGGTACTACTGTGCAGCATTCTGAAAAACTGGATGTCAACCTAGTCACAGATGAACATAACAAAGAACTAGATATTCTAATCTTAACCCATCTGTTACCAAAGAGTGGTTCATTCTACTGCTCTGCTTTGCTCACTGGTTAATACCTCTATTTGTTCATTTATGAGTTACGGACTTTATGATGCAAAGACTAGACTTCAAAAAGAATCACTACTTGTTATGTTTAGAAATTCTGAATTCTTTTTGACATCTAGGCTATACAACCAAAAATTACAATTCCATATCTCGAAGTAGTGTTTTATATAAGCATTTTTCTTTTATATAATAATAATTCAAATAAAGTTTATTCATAACTCTTCACTAGAATTTTTGAAGCATTATTGATCACTGGGTTATTAAATCATAGTAATCTTTTGAGTTCATTATTTTCATGATGAAGCTACAAATAAAATCAGAGTAATAATTTCACTTCTGTTTAAAGGTCTTATTTTAATCTAACTCAATCAAAGTTTCCATTAAGGGAATGTATACATATATACATGTGTATATATGTCACAGTGAAAAATATGTCCTTTGTAGTCCAGGACCTAAATTTGAGACTGAATTCTACCAAATACTTACTGGATGCATGACTGAGTACATTATTTGAATTCTTTAATCTCCATTTCCTCCCTGAAAATGTACACATTAGTACCTAAGAGTTATTACAAGGAATGCACAAAGCTCCCCACAAATGTCTAACACAGTAATAGCCTAACAACAGCAGAGGATGGAGGAAACAAACACATTGTTGGAGTCAGACAAGGATGAGAGAAGGGCTCATAGGGCACCAGCACCTCAGTGCTAAACAACTTGTGCTAGAGTCTGGGTGATAGGGAAGGAGGAGTCATTGTGTTGGCAGATTCAATACAAAGTTCCAAACTCATGGGCATACAGAAAACCCAGGTTCAACTCAGAGAGTCATAAACCAAACAGAGACATGGATGTGGGAAAGAGACTTGCAGGGAGGGTGACGGTTGACAGTGATGAGGAGAGAAAAGAAGGGGGATAAGGATCAGGAGGTATTATATAAGACTGCCAAATAACAAATTGAATTCATCCAAAATTACTTGTCTTTAAAAACCCTAATTCAAAATCCATTTCTCTAGACACATGTTCAAACATACACACACACACGGGGGGGGGGGGGTATGTAAGTATACTTTGGGGACTGAGAAGCATTATTATGTTATACAGTTTGTGATTCTAAAATGAATTAAAACACTGATTAAATTTTCTAAGATTTTTGTTTATATCTTCCAAATACCAAGATTTAAAATATGTTAATTATGTTATATTGCACATAAAAATGGGAAGCAAGCCAGATGCATGTATGTGCATATACAAAACACAAAGTAAGTACATATACATGCATTCCTTTTTAACGTACAATATACAATTAAAGGAAGCTGTATAGAAATACAAGGAAAAGGTTGAAAAGTAAACAGGATGTTCCCAGCCATAGACCACAATGCAATGAGAGTAAAAAGGCACACAAATGCAGGCAAATTTTAATTGTGGAAAATTTCACTCAGTTCACATTATTGTCAAAAAAGGTCAAAAGCTCAGAAAAGTTGGATATTCTCATCTCTTGGGCAAAAGAATTTCTCTAAACAAAACCAAGGTGTTACCAGCTACTGTCACCACCACCACCAAGGATTTTTAAAGTATGGAATATTTGATAATGAAATTTCTTCCATAATTTCACTTAAAAGCAAAAGAAACTCTATACTATAAATTGTGGATAAACCTAAATAAAAAGTATAATTTATAACATTTGTAAAATTTCATCACAGGCTCATGTTTACAGAGTTGTATTTCTTGGGATCCTAATGGCATAAGATATTGGAGAAGAAGGATAAAGGGGATTTGTAGTCAAATAAACTGCAGTCTAGAAAATGCGGTGTTATATAGTTTTCTAGATTTATAATAATACTTACATATAAGGGCCTAAAACTTGCTACAATCAAGGGGAGTTTTTTACATTAATCAGCTGGTGTTGGTGTTTCCCAAGTTCACCTAGCACAGAACTCTTTCTTTCTCAGGAAATGTCAAGGAACCAGTATGCCTCATAACAAGTTGCTTTGGGAAAGTATAATAAATTATCCATTATATGTAGTAAACAAGCAATTTCATATATATCTATTTCCACAAAAAGTAATCACTTAAAGAATTTAAGTCCCAAATGAATAGTCCCAAATAGTCCCAAATAAATCTATCTTATTTCATGTTTTAAGACATTTATTTCAAGAGTAGTATTTATACTCTTTAGTGAGCTGGAGTTCTTTTCAGAAGATAGACTGACAGACAGATGGACAGACGGATGGAAGGATATAGAGATACAGATATTTGACCTCTCATGAGCTTTGTGCTGTTTAATAAAGTCCAAACACCCAGTTTCTCATAGTTGGGAAGAGATAACAATAAATGTGTCCCCCTAAGCTTTTGCATATTTTTTCTTGCAATTCACTATGAATTAAGAAAACCTTGAGGCCATGAGCTATTACATACCTTCAAACATGAGAATATTAAACTTATAGGTTTTTTTTATTAAATGGTGATGTAAGTCTGAATTTACACAATTCTACAGCAAGATAGTGAATTTTCACATCATTTCTGTAGTAAAATAATAATTCATTATTTCATTCTAATACCTATATTGAGTATATGGAAAAATGCTAGAATTATTACTTTATCTATGATACTTTACTTCCCCCAAGGGCCAATAGCTGGTGAGCAAGGACCAATTTCTTATTGCACCAATACTATGTGGATTACAAATATGTGTCAAATAGCCACACTAAAACATGAACAAAACCAGGAAATACCTTTACTAATAGCTCATTATTTATGACATTTTCTTCTTCTGAAATAATTTTGGAACACGACTTGCTAGAAGTTGTGCTTTTAAAAAATGAGATGGCATGGTAGATAGCTTTCTTTGAGTCGAGAAATTAAGAGCAAAGTCTTCAAAAGTATAATGAGGCACTCATTACTGTCTCATTGTGTTAGAAGAAACAAAATAAGTAAGCTACAATTAACTCAAGGGTGAAGTATGAATGTGAATGATTATGCTGCCAGGCTGTGACATCACTTTCTTCCTGGGATTTCTTTGGAAGTTTTAAAGCACATAAAAGTATAGCAAAATGTATAAAATGAAGAGAAAAATAACTCTTTCTAAAAGGTCTAAAGGGGAACCAATAAAGGCTGTTAAGATAGAAATAACACTTTGGGTAACTCATGGACATTAGTCATTCATTTTCAAGTTATACAAAATAAACTGCCTACTGGAGGGAAAAAAATCACTTTAAAAATCTATGCCAAGATATATGTCACCACAGCATCTTATATAATAATACATATCAATAACACTTTATAAGAGAAGTTAATTGGATTTCAGAATGGAAAAAAACTAACAAGAAAGGAGAGAGGAATGTCAATAATTTAGTAAATGAAAAGGAATTAAAGTATTAGGTTCAAGTATTGCAAGACTTTTTAAAATAAATAGACGCAAATGAAACAAAAATTGGTCTTCACCTGGTAAGTGTGTACTCCCTGAGTCCTGAATGCAAATTCATGGCAGAAAAAGTACCTATGCATCCACGCAATCTTTTGTCTCGACCAATCTTCCATGTTACAAACAGTGGGCTGTAACAGAACATAAAATAGGGTAAATCAGTCAATTCAACCAAGCCAGCATTTATTGAGCATTTACCATATGCTAGGTTAGGTGACTGAGATATACAGACCAAAGACAAGCCCTCAAGGGGCTCAAAGTTTATTCATTAACAGAGTGTTTTCTACATTGTGTTAAGTGGCTTCTATACATTAGAACCAAAATTAATGCTTTACCACATTTTTGTTAACCCTCATCAACAATCCTTCCAGACTGGAGATATTAATTTCCTGTTTACAGACCAAATACAGTAAAATAAATACTAAAACTTGGTAATGTTGAAAACAGAACTTTAACTTATCACCAATGTCTGCAGGATTCCCTGTTTAATCCTAGGGTCACTGACTGATTTAGAAAACTGGAAACAAGTAATCAACAACCTTAAAAAGTACCTTTTCTGAAAATACAGGGGCTATGAAAGATTAAAAGGCAATCATTGGTTTGTAGGAAGCCAGCGCAGAGGCAGACACAGTCACAGCCAACTAACATAAGGCAGACTAAAACAAGCATTATAAACCATGCCCCAAATGCCATAAATGAAGCTATAGGGATAGGAAAACATCTTATCAGACATGATAATCTTCAGTTTGCCCTAGTAAAATCAGGATGGTTCAGAAAGGTGAAGCATGGCTTTAAACATTAAGTAGCACATACCCTTAAATGATTAAGTTAACGATTAAGTCTGAAAACTTACAAATAACTCGATATAGTCTATACACTTTAGGATATTTGGCAAAAATAAAAATATACCTCAGGTAAGGTGGCCTGTATTATTATGAATATTCACAATAATAGTATAACATATTTCTGCTTTCTAAAATATTTAAATTTATGGGGCTATACCATATTTTATATGTTTCTCATTATTCACTAGTGAGCTAGAGAACATCCTCTCTTTAAAATGCTCTTGGGAAACAAGATAGTCCCTTAAAGCAGTTTAATCATCCACCTCAAACATTTCAATTATGGCAAGTTCTGACAGACAGGTACAATTCAGACTGGATCCCAAACAATCCCTGCAGATAAACCAGGGAGGACTATGAAAAGTTCCCTTCTTCCAAGAACTCAATGTTCAAAACATGACCATAGTAGCAAGGCAAAGAAGACATTCAGGCGCCAGATGACCTACACTAAAGGTATTAGAGTAAAAACAGAAAGGACTGCCCATGTATCCTGATTTCAGCTCTTATGTGCTAAATATAAACGAGATTACAATCATCCATTTGAAAAATTTCCTGTAAATGCTCTTGATTAGCAGTTCATAAGAAGAAAAAATTAGATGGGAATTACACTATTACGATCTCTTTTCATTACTCAGGGTAACACTAGTATCAAAAGATTTATGCATTCTTTAAGAAAATGTAACTTTTTTACGTTTCCGTTTTCCACCTTAGTGCAGTCCACATCTGCAACCATTCTTATGGACAGCAAGATCATCCATCCTTTCTCATCACACTGACTAGACAATATCCCAACATAAGACAGGTCCTCTGATAGCTTTGACAGCTTCAGGTTGAAGTGAGTCATCCTGTAATCTATATTATGCCATGTATCCAAAACATGGATGATTTTTCAATAACAGACCAACATTGTATAGTCGCATCTCCAGTGGCTTAGTAAACCTAAAAAGTGGGAGTGGATTCATTTCTTACCAAAACACATGAAATGAAAGCCATTTAAAAGTGCTATACCTTCAATCATTTACCTCACAAGAATACATACATATGCCATTCTTATAATAACATCTTCTTCAGTAAATACTCAAAATACATAGGATAAATAGAACTACACATACTGAACACTATTCTGAATGATGAAATATGTTGGAAGGGATTCAACCACCTGACAGGGGAAATTACATGTCATTTTTTAATAATACTATGCTCACTCTTTGGGGGAATTAATATATGGCTAAGGGTGCTACAGGATTGCATTTTTGCAAGGCAGCCTAGGAGGCAAAGGCATTTCACAATAACCCAGGGCACAGGGGTGTAAAAAACTGCAAAGGGAATGAGTAGCCTTTATAACTTGCTGTAGTATCTTTCAGATTTAATATTCTTTGGATTTTTGACGAGATTATGTGTTCTTAAGAGTCCTCATAACAGGCAAAGTAGATGATGCAAAATTATCTATGTTATTTCCTACTTTTCCCTGCCCTAAGCAATATTCATTTTGGAAGTTAAGATTGCAGTAAAGCAGATGTCAAGAATGGGAGGGAATGACAACCCTACTAAGGCATGTTTGAAGATGTAAGAATTCAGACTTTTAGTAGACAGTATGAAGTTTTCCTGTAAATGTCTGGGTCTCCAATTTGCCATTTACAAATGCACATCCAGTTATCTTTTATCTTTAAAAAAAAGTACTCACAGACTTAAAAATAAAGTGTCTAAAAGCATCGTTTAATAGGGAAAAAAGAATCTAGGCAGCTGAGCATTTTAAAGTACTTTGGTAACACTACACACCACTGAGCCCCAAAGATAGCATCGTGTGCATAATAATGACTTTGTACAGGGCAATGGCTGCAGGAACATTCAATTTGTATTATCTAAAAATAGCAACAACATATTTTCACTCCAAACAGAGGAAAGGAATAGGTGATTTCATTCTTAAATATGGTATTAAAACATGTATGAGTTTGCCAAAGTACATAAGCTAAGCCATCAGCATAAGCAGAATCAGATCAAAGGGAAGAAGGGGGCTTTGAGCCTGCTGAGAGGAGCTATTCAGTGACGAGGAAACAGTTCATAGTAAGGCAAAGATTGAATGTTTTTGGAAAATGCTTTTGCCATATGGTTTAAGGCCACCTACATACATTGAAAAAATACTACAAACTCCAAGAAGGATCAAAATGAGTTGAGATATTAATGGAAATATTTATCTGAGGGTAACCAGATGTAGCTTTTAAAGGAATTATCCTACTTCTGAACATTTTGTACCAGTATGTTCTGAGAAACATTTGGAGGAAAGTAAACCCCATTTCCCCAAGCCTGTACATAGAAACAGGAAACAACCACCTAATCTAGGTGAATCCTCTCTGCCAACTGGCAGCCAGCATTGTCAGATCAAAAGTGGCTCTCAGAAATGTAGCTGTTATGGAACAATAACAGTACAAAGAGCAATATAAATCTGCACAGGATTCACCCAGTTTCATGCCACTTCCAAAGCCCTCTTCTGAGACTGTCTATTGATTTAAGCCACAACACATTAAAAATGTGTTTGTAGGACTGGAATACAATTACATGAGACAATGAAAAAGATGTATTTACTTAACAACAGTGTAGCTCAAAGCCTACTACCTCTCTTGCTGCAACAACATAAAATGAGAAGTTTAAAAAAATATACAGTCCATGGTGAGCTCTCACTTCTCTTGTTTAGAATGAAGCTTACAGGTAACAACATTAACACAATAATATAAACCATACCTATTTGCTACAGGCATTCAACAAGATTATTTATTTTAGAGGTAGATAAAAAGAAAAAGAGAGAAGCCTTGTATCTTAGTTTGTTTCTTATACCACCAAATAATGATTGTCAAGTGTCTGTGGTCTCATCAGCAACTTAGCTAAAAAATCCAATTAAGATCCTTATACCGTGCAACTTAACTCTGGAATCTAGGAAGCTTAAGTAAAACAAAAATGATGGTGCCTTCTTTCTATCACCAATCTAAGATATTTCTCTTCATATTTCAATGAAAAGAAGTTGTGTGCTACCTTTCCGAGCCATATTAATTACAGTTTTCGTGAATACAAAATATGCCAAATATCATTAGATCCTGAATGAGTCAGCATGGGCTGCTATAATAATTACCATAGGATGGATTGCTTAAAGAAACTTTACTTAGAGCTTTGGGAGCTACACATCTCATGATCCAGGTTATAGTAGACTTCAGTTCTTGGAGAAAGCCCTCTTCCAAGCTTACAGAAAGTTACTTTGTCCTCACATGCTATTTCCTGTGAGCACTGTGGGACAGCAGCTCCAGGGTAGTAAGTTTAGCGGTCTGGAAATTACCACAGAGTAACAAAATTCTATGGATACTACAGTTAAGTATATAGATGAGCTGAGAGGCCTGTCTCCTCCCACTCCTCTATCTCCCCTCTTCTGAGGAGTGGAAAGATTAGATGAAGAGATGACAGAATGCAGGAGAAATGCCAGACTATTTAAACAGTGGTTCTCAACCTTCCTAATGCCGCAACACTTCAATACATGTTGAGGTGACCCCCCCAACCATAAAGTAATTTTCATTGCTTCTTTAGAACTGTAACTTGTTATGGATTGCAATGTTTTTTTTAACTCCAACAGGACATAACCAACCAATTTACAAGTTCTTACACTGTTTCTATTAGAAACCCACAGCAAAGGCTATTATTTCATCCTTGATGGCTTACCAACACCCTTTCTATCTCCCCCTTGCCTTCTCATTTCATGTTCTCCTATTATCTAGGTAGCCTTCATGAAATCCAGGTCTTCTGTCTATTCTCTACAAATTGTACACCAAATGAAAATGTCCACTTACCCTTATTTAATAATTATTCAGCTAGGGATCAGCTCTGATCATTTAATTATGCAATTTATGTTATGGAATGAATAATGCTTAGGCTCATATAAATCTGAATCGTAGAGCATTTGGAAGTGAGGAAAAATGGCTAAACTGGATGATACAGGGGAAAGAAGGTAAGGTTCAAATGCATTTGACCCATTTGTTCATACCATTGTTTTCTTATAGATGTAAATATATTAAACAACAAACAAAAACACCATAGCTTTATACTACAACCCTTAATTCAACCTTTGCATGTAGCTTGTACCTCAGGGTACCTGGGAAACTAAAGTAATAAGGCTAGAGAGGATGGCTAGTTTAGAAGATCATAAATATCTAAAATTGAGAATCAAGAATTAACTGTATTCTTATACTTTTTTGGTTTGGTATTCACAGAAATAAAATAATAGCAGCATTATATGCTTTTCCCCCATT